ATCTAATAATTCCACTAAATTTACTATATCTGACGAATCTACTTGGTTTACTAATATTACTTAATTAATTATATGCAATCTCTAAATAATTATGCAATTGATCCACTAACTTAAGCTTTATGCATCATCGATCTATTCTCAATCATAACACTAGCTATCTTATAAAATATTTGTAAATAAATTTATAAAAATTTTGGCAAAAGTTATAAAAATAAGTTTGCTAATTTCAAATATAAAATTTCTTTTGAAATTAAACTAATATATAAGAAATAATTTAAATTTAAAGTTTTTATTAATAATTACTATACAAATATTGTTTTTAAATTTATATTAAAAAATAAATACAATTTTTTTAAAATTTAAAGTAACATAACTTAATATAAACTAATTTTATAGCAAAAAACTTTGGTAATTGAAATTAGATAATAAATTTTTATAACTTTATCATAATTAAGAATTTAAAAAAATTTAATTAATAAAAAAAATTTTTAATTTTAGCTAAACTAGCTAAATTTAGATAATTTACTATAAATAGTAATAATTTGCAATAATTTTTAAAAAATACTTATAATATAAATAATAATTATTACAATATAAAAAGTAAAAAGCTTTTAATTATAATAAGCCCCAGGCTTGTTTTATACAATCAAACTTTTAATTTACAAAATTTGTTAATATATTTTAGTTATAATTATATACTAGTTCTAGTATAGTAAAATTTACAAAAAATACCTGACATAAAAAAAAATTATTTTTTAACAATTTTATTATTAATATTAAAAAAAATCACATAAAACAATTTTTGAATATTTATCAGATTTTTGTATATAAAAAAAATTAAACTTTTTAATTTTTTAGATTTTTTATGCTTTTTTTAAAATGTACTAGTTCTAGTACAAATTAGTAAATCCAATCCATTAAGTTTTTAATTTAATTAATTATATTTTTGTAAATAATTTTAGTTGCTAAATTAAGTTTTTAATTTGCTATATATTATACTATATAATGATATCTTTAGAATTAAAATAAAAAATTTGATTAAATTTAAATAACTACTCTAGTTGGTAAAAATAAAAGTTCAAGAAAATTGGCTGTAGCTTTTTGGAAAAATTAAACTTTTAAACAAAATTACTTATCACTTACTACAGTAAATAGTTTTTTTAAAAGTTTATATATTGTATTAACCAAAATAAATACGATAAAACCAAAAGTTTAAAAAGTTAAAAACCATATAATTTTTTAACTTTAAATTACAGTATTAATATTTTATTTATATTAAATTATATAAATAGAAAAAATTGTACAATAAATTTATACTCGAATAAATACAGTATACAAAATATAAATATTTTTTTAATAAACTTTGAAAGTAAATTTTATCGAGTACATACAGTAAAAATTACTGTAACTAAAGCAAATAATAGTACACAATTACGGTATATGCAATAAAAGATAGTATACTTTTTACAGTATGGAACTCTATTACACAAAAAATAAATAAAACAGTTTGGGCCATTCACACACTCATCTGCCCGATCTCGGCATATTGCGATAGAAATTGAAAGTTATACTAATAATGCAAACGTCTCGGCTCAAGAAGACTTTATAAATCTATATCTGTATATAAGTGAATAAAATTATAACTAATAGGATTACGAACACATGTTAATTATCTAAATTAAACAAATATGGAACGGATTAGTTTCAATAAAATTATACTAATTTAATAAACTTGGATAACTCATAACGTCATTGAACAATAATTCAGGAATTAATCTCGTTATTGTAAGCACCAGATATAGTAAAGAGTGGATAAATTCTTTAAATTCTTGATATAGAGAAATCAATAAGATCATTGACTATATCGAGAGTTGCAAAATAAGTATATCAGGTATATAAAAATTAGATTACATAATGACGTCATCTCCACATAAAAAATAATAATAAAAAAAAAATAATAAAAAAAACGAATAAAAAAAGAGAGCAATGACAAGAGAGATCCAATATAGGATTTATGCAGATATTCAGCCACCAACGTTAGCATATGATGTCAGAGAACAAAAATGGTTAGATCAATTACGCCATTTTAATATTAATAGCGATAATTGAGTTTGTACAACATAAAGGTTGTGTATTCAAATCTGCCTTTTATTGACAAAGTTGAGCATATTAATCGAAATAAAAGAAAAAACAGAACCAAAATAGGCAAAACAATTGTCAGATTTTTTTGGTTCTACAAAGCAAATGGCGCAGAAAAAAATGGAAAAAGAAGATTCTTAAATTCTTTTCTGCGAACGCCAAAATAAACACGTGATAATAAATTTGAAAAGAAGAAAAAAAGGGAAAGATAAACATATTCTATTTCGAAAAGATATTTCCAAGACGAATATAATGTCAAAATATTTACGTCACGCAAAATTTCAAAAGATTAATTTTTTTTAGGTAAAAGTTTATTGGTTGTTATTGGTTGTCATTGGTTGGTAATATCAGAAATCCATGATAAGGGAGATATGACTAAAAATTGACAAATTTGTACGGAAAGTTCACATTAAATATGCAGCGGAGAGTCCGTGATCAACAAAATAGAGTCATTTAGAAAATGAAGAGCCGATTTAATTTTTTATTTTATTTTAATTTATTTTTTATTATTTTTTACAAATATATTGCTTTACAAATATATTGCACAACATTCACAAAAATTGCATTTGATTAAATAATTGAATAATTAAATGATTAAATAGTAAATTAATATCAGATATATTCAGATATATACCGGTAGATATATTGAAATATTTATTTATGTATTTCAGATTATTTCAGATAGATTCTTCACTCACCCCTTTTAAGAAAATCAACCCCCTGAACACCGTTATTTTCGCGGGATTTCATTCAACATTATTATTAATAAAGATTATTATTAAACATTATAATTAAACATTATTATACTTATTATATTATTATATACTTTGACGGGAAACAAAACATTTAACTATTTTATTAACCAGAACCAAAGTATTTTTGATGCACATAATCAATTAAAATCAGTTGTTTGTTTGAGAATTTTTTATGGCATAAAGTTTGTTTTATTGTTTCAAAAATTCAAAAAATCCACGCAGAACGAATTTTTTTTTTTCCCGCGAAACTAAAAACTAAAAAGAACCGAAACGCAACTAATCATTGAACAATAGAAAAATTTACTTTTTTGAGGTAAGATTTTATTACGGGAAAAAAATTTACTGTTTTGAGATGTAAGAGATTGCAGAAAAAGGAGAATAAAAAAGTACCAATCACTGACGAATAAAAATTTTTCATGAAACCCAACAACAAACAAACAAACAAGAATTTAAACGGGTAATTTCCAAATTAACATTGCACCCTTTACTTTATTTCCTAAAGAAACGACATGTTCCACGCCGTCACCGCCGCGTCACTCATTGTAGACAAGAAAGGAACTTCCGGCCTATGAAAGATTACACGACATAAAGGAGAGCATTTCGCACGAAGTTCTTGTCTCAGTGCGAGATTTTTGATATAGAAAATTTATAGAAAATTTATAGAAAATTTATAGAAAATTTATAGATAGGTTAATCTTTCTAAACTAAATATAGAATTGTAATTTTTCTTTTGAATCCGATCTATTCTTTTGATCCAATCCTATAATTGTATTTGTTGACTATTAATTCCAATTAAAGAATACAGTTGATAAATTTCTAAAGTTGGTACACAAGCATATCTATTTTTTTTTTCTTTACCAAATAAAAATTATAAAAAAAAATTTTTGTTTCGCATTTCATTTACTATTTTTTTTCACATACTTTTTATTTACTATTTTTTTCACATTCGTACTTTTTATTTACTATTTTTTCATTGAACCATCCATGCGAGCAATAACGCATAATAATAGTAATATTATATCACTCAAAATACGTAAAAAAAAAAAAACTTTACGTAAATATATAAGTTATGTTACGTATGCATCTGCAAGAAATTGGGTAATTGATCATCCCGCCATAGTCTATACAATATGCACATGATATCACAAAGCTTATCACATCCGAGACGTTTTACCGCTAACTGTAATATGATTAAAATTTATTTGTAAATTTTGTCATTGTACTATGGTTTTTGAAATCCACAATTGTTGATGAATTTGGATTTGTACGATCTAACAAATATGTAAAAGTAAAATAAAGTAAAAAAAATTAAAAAAAAATTAAAAATATATATATATATATATATAAAAAAAGTGTAAAAAAAAAAAAAAATTCTAGTAATTGATTTAAATTAACCGAAACTTCGATGAAAGATCATGGTGCGAGCCGAAATCCGAGTGTTCCTGTTTACTACAATAAAAATAAGTATTCTTCTATTTCTTAGAGTTGCCTATTTGGTGAATGAATGGTGCCTTATTGTAAAATTGCCATTTATGCTGTGACATGGTTTTTTCTTTTTTTGCTGATTATTCCCCTTTTTAAGGTTTTGGTTTAATGTAATTTCATGCTATTATGCCAAGATAGCTATCCATTGTTTCCCTTTCTTTCATATAAACTATTTTGTTATAAATACCTATTATGTGCAACAATATCTAATATAGGCAACTGCCGCCTGCTTTTGAATTGGGTCAAAAGATATTGCAGATAAGCCAGATTTTCATCTCTACATATATTTTTAACAAAGAGCTTTTTTTTCTAAAAGATCGTCAATCACCATCATTTCCACTTTCAGCAAAGAATGCATTGCTCCGACATATAAAGACTGTCACAGATCACTCTCCGTGTTGTGCAGCTCCCCAAATCTCTTTAAAAAAAAAAATTAAAAAAAAAAATATATATATATATATAAAAAAAAAAAAATTATAAAAAAAAAAATTATATTAATACCTTTTAAACGATTATATTGACGACTACTATTATTATTTAAACCACTCTTCAAAAATAATTTTCAAAAATAATTTTCAAAAATAATTTTCAAAAATAATTTTTTACGTAAAAAAAAAAGAAATGTCATTTTATTGTTTTGAAACGAGGCAGGACAGAACTCTTGCTCCATATCCACCCCCAGAGTGTAGTCAACAACTTGACCGGATGTCTCCATCAGAAATTGTAGACCATATAATCGCAACTAATATTGACCCATCAACTCTTTTAAAAATTGAAAACCAAATCGCTGTACCGCTTCGTCAACTTATTTCACCAAGAGAAAATCGACGTAGAAGATGTATTCCAAGACCTCAAAATAATTTTGTATTATACAGAAGAAATTTTCATGCCGTTATTACTAAAGAAAGAGGTCACGCTGTTGCTAAAAATTTTAAACTTATTTCAAATGAAGCTGCTAAAAATTGGTCGGAAGAAAGTAATGAAGTTAAACAACTTTATGAATTAATAGCTGATTGTGCAAAAAAAGTTCATGATTGTACCTATCCTCAATACGTTTATCAACCAAAACATAAATCTTCGAAGAAAGGAAATAATACTATATTCAGAGAAGTTACTATGGACACTTGTAAGCAACGATCTGAAAAATCTAAATCTGATCGTAATTCAAAAGCTGAAAAATCTCAACCATCAAAACCTGCTAAATCTTCTTCAAAATCTGCTGCCGCTTCTATGACTTTAACTATGACTACCATATCTTCTTTATCTTTGGATACATCTACTTCAAAATCTGATTCATCCATTACATCATCTTTTAAATCATTACCTCAATCTGAAAGAGAGACATCAATAAAAGATTATCCTCAACAACATTTAATTAAAGAATGGCGTTGGGCTCATTACGGTCAAACTGATGCACGTTCTGTTCATAATGATCAATACAAGATACCACCACCTCAATCTCCTAAACCAATGCAAGGTGTCGAAAAAATTCCATTAATCACTACTCATCTACCACAATCTAATGCTACTTCACTTCTTCCTCCTCCTCCTCTTGATATTCCTATTTCTTCTAATTTCACTGGTTATGATAAGAATGTATGGAGTTTAGTTAATGGGTTAACCACTTTGTAAATACAATTCATTAGCTATTGGTAATAAGGGTCGATCGAATTCGAGTTTATTATATATATATATATATGTAGTTTTTTTTTTTTTTTCTCTTTTTTTTTCATTTACAATTCATAGCATGCAATCGTGAATTTCAACTACTACTAATGGTGTGAGAAAAAAATGATATATATATAATCACTATCATTAGAAACACACTACTTTTTTACATATGCAGAATAATTTTTTTCGTTTATTATTTCGTTTACTTGCTTCGGTATTACAGATTGTTACAAATTGTTACAAATTATTACAGATTATTACAGTTATTACAGTTATTACAGATTAGCGAATATCTATTATATATATATAGGCTGCGTAAAAAAAAAAAAAAAATTAAATTCTTAAAAAAAAAAAATTCTTATCAACTGCATCCTCAATAAAAATTTTTGGTTTTTGGTGAAGGGATTCAGTAATAAAATTTTTGTAATTTGAAAAATAATAAAATAATAAAAAAATAAAAATAAAAAATTACAAAAAAAAAATCTTAAAATATTTTAAAATATCTAAACCATATAAAATGTTTCAACTAACACTACAATATCTACAATAACTGCAATATCTACAATATCTACCTAAAAAAAAAACCATTTTTAAAACTACTAACTACTACTGTATGGCTAAAGTTTAATTCATTGCGATAAATTAGGTAACGCGAGATGTATGATGATCCGATTTACTCCGTACGTACGTGACATAAATTTGCAAAGCTTTATCTTGCGTATAACCATAAATCGAGATACATAGGTACACGCGATATATTAAAACCCCAAAAGATCCGTGTAACATGTATCTTTTTGTGAAATACCGAAAACCCGAGATGATGTTGAAAAAAATGCGAGCAGATCTTTTCTTTAATGATATCTAATTTTCTTAATTTGGCTTATATTATCGATTACTTTTCCGGATTTGTTCTTCCTGATAATAAAACTTTGGTTATTTCACGTGTCGATAATTAAAATTAGTAAAGCATTCTTGTCTTTATTAGTAAAAATTCCAAAACTAAAATAAAATAAAATTATGTACATATCTACGTACATGATTCGTTCCGATAATCGATAACGAATGATGGTTTGCCATTACTATTACTAGTCTATTACTGTATTACTGTATTAGTGAAACATCCAAATGTTACTACAAGATAATTAACTCTACTTAGATTCCACTTAGATTCCACTTAGATTCTACTTAGATTCCATTTAGACTCCACTTATATCCACTTATACTCCACTTATATTCCACTTAGATTTCTCTTAGATTCCTTCTTGCATCACAATTTAAACTCATAATTACATGTATGTACGAATGCATTATCGTACGTGCATGAAACAAAATAATGATTATCATTTTGTAAATGATGTTTGATGTTCGGTGTTTGTAGCATTATGACTACTTTATTCAAAGTAATACATGCCACTTAATCATAAGATTTTTATGTCAAACTACTATTAAGACTACTATTAAGACTTCTGACAAGTTCACACGTACGTACGTACGTAATAGTACGCGTGTACATGAACTATCTCAAATATCTAAAATTATTAATCGATCATTAATTGAGCTAATCATTAATTAAGTTACAATGATTGAACTATTCCAACTGGAAAATGATTTCCTCCGAACGGCATAAATATCCTTAAATCGTTTAATGTATTCTAATTATTCTAATTATTATTCTAATTATTATTCTAATTATTATTCTAATTATTATTCTAATTATTATTCTAATTATTATTCTAATTATTCTAAATAACTCTTCATATCGTAACAAATGTCTACATCACGGATTAATAATCATCCTATCAACTACAGTACGTACGTAACTACGTAATTCTTATAATTCTAGGCATAACAAACATTATTCTTGCTCATCATTCATATTGTTGGTCTTTAATTTTGAAAATGTTGTCAGATGAAAAAAATAGTTGATATCGATTGACATGAAATGATAAGCACAAAGCTTGAGACTTTCGATTCTTGCGTGTTGATAAAGGTAAAGATCGGTTATGATAATAACATTCAAAGATTAACAAATTGTAGTTTGCATATCTATATTCCCATTGTTCTGCTATTATATACTTAGGCATATGATATGACCTGTACTTGACCGTTGAATATTCGATTCTTCATTTTATTTTTGGTGTCGGATTATTTTGCTTATTCCGATTACTCCGATTATTATGTGAAGTAATTACAGAATTAAGGTGTTATTAAAATAAAATAATCTTCATTATCATCATAATCATTTCGTTGTCTTTGTTATCATCATTCAAATGATCGTTGTCTTTGTTATCATCATTCAAATGATCCTTATCTTATCTTTTATTACTTCAAGTAATTATTAGCTCTCTGTAAATCGCCATGACTTTAATTTTCATCATCATCGGATCTCATAACGCTAACTTTATTTTGACTGAATGATACAGTTGTCAATGTGTTATGGAATATTTATGGAATGAATTGCATTTGTTTGAGTCAAAGGACATCTATATAGTTGATTATTTCTTGAAGTGAACGTTGAATGACTTTTCTGTAAGCTTCTATAAATAAACTATTTTAACAGGGTTGGCTAATTGATGATCGTCGCTCTTTTAAACGTCATCTTGAATCAACATCTATATATCGCGCTGTATTTGTATTGATAGCGTAATGGGAAGAGGCTGTGTTTCGCCGAGAGACATGTCTTAATGTCATTGCATATGAATTGCTGTGTTGAGATAAATCGTGCGAGCTTTTTTAGATGATGAATTAGAATATTTCAAATGTTGTAGGCCTTTGCTGGACCGCGAAACTTAATTGATTTTTTTTTGAAGAGATAAAAGGTTATAAAAAAATTTGTTTTTTATAAACTTCATATACAGTTCATTTTCTGATAAAAAATTTTTTGACCTTGCAAAATTCTGTTTAACCATTCCTAAAAAAGATTACGAAATTATCGAAATCAAAGATTTTCGTTGTATACATCATTTTGATAGCTCATACATAAAAACCATTATTATGATGCAAATATTACATCATATTCATGATCTTTTCTCTAATTTATTTTAATTTTATTTTTATTACATTAATTGTCCGTTTTTTTGTTTGTTTGTCACATCCCCCAAAACCTTGCTTTTTATGCATAATCTTATCATCAAAAAGGAAAAAAACAAAGAAATCATACGATCATTATTGTCAAAGAGAAAATATCCTTAAAATGTTCTAAAACTTCACTTAGTTATTAATTCAGGTTATTCAGGTTAACGTTTATACTAAAAATCCCTAATTAGTCTTTCTTATTATTACAAATCTAGTTAATTTTAATATTCTTTCTTATTATTACAAATCTAGTTAATTTTAATATTCTTGTTTGATTACACATACCATGCAATATTATTAATATCATTTTATCACTTTAATGAGAAATTCATCACATTAATCAAATTATTTTATAGACGTGCTTTCTTTTCTGAATTAATAGTTACATTCCCTGTAGTAACACTGTAGTAACCAGTATTCAAAAATAATTTTTGCTTATTCGGTTGTTATTATTAAGTACTGTAAGCGGTAACTTTTTTAGAATTAATTCATTGTTTGTAGTGATTTCGTGACTGGTCAATAGATTGTAACAAGTTGAAAGATTTGAAAGTCACAATAACATTCATAAAATCTTAATAATTTGTTAATAAAATGTAATTATTGGTTTTTTAATCTTTATACAATATATAATGTTAGTCAAAAACAAGTTATCTTTTCTAATTTTTTAAATTTAAAGGCTATAGTTTTAAAATTACTTTACTAAAATTTGCAAAATTAAGTAGTAGGCGTATTGCTAATATATAGTAAATATATATATATTATATAATAATAAAGTAATTATATAGTAACTTTAAAACTAAAAAATTAATAGTAGTAGGCATATTACTAATATATAGTTAATATAAAAAAATTGCTTTACCAAGTAACTATATAGTTACTTTGTTTTTTTTTCATTTTGATAACCTTGTACTAAAGTTTATTAATTCTTATTTCAACATTCATATATATGAATAGCAATTAATAATTGTGTTAGACATTACCTGGCTGCTTCATGAATGTCCAAGTATGGTTATCACACTGATATTTGCCAATAAGTTCTACATGAAGTGCTACCTCCATTTAAAAACCTACTATAGTGAGTATTTAGTTACTCTATTTTTAAGATCTTTCTCATCTAGCCTCCTATTAACAGGAACTAACAGTTCTTTTTTACTTAAAGAGTACAAAAACAATCTTTAAAAAGAAAGAAAAATAAGAGGATGAAGTTAAAGAAGAAGAAAAAGGTGATCACTACATTTATAAATAATAAACCAAAAACAAAATAAAAACCAAACAATAAAAAAAAAAAATAAAAAACCAAAAATAAAAAATAAAAAAAATAAAAAAAATAACAAATATAAAACCAAACTATGTTTTTTAACCTAAGCCAAAGCTAAAAATATTATTTCAGAATGTTATATATCTTATATTTAATTTATCCTGACAATAATTTTTGTTTATCTATTAAGATTCAAACTAACCTGGACCTTTTCATGTACTCTGATATACAATATTATATTAATCAGTATATACAGATCTTTGTCTAAAATATAGTTAGGTCTATACTTAGTGTTATGTATTTTGTTGTATCTTATTTTAGCATATCACAAATAACTATTATTTAATTTAGAAGTAGTAAACAATACTAATCTTTTGGAAGAAGTAAGCCAAAATTTTTACTTTTTTGAAAAAATTTTAAAACTAGAAAAAGAGCAAAAAAAGAATAATAAAGTTCTTTATAAAGCCTAACAGTGATTATCAAAAGCTAAGCTAAGGAATTTTCAAAGTTTTTTAGTGAATAATAAACTTTGAACTTGTTGACAAGTAGAATATGAAAACTATTTCTAAATAACAAATACTATTCTTACAGTAAGTGATAAACTCTAGATCTGTTAGCAAATAGCATA